TTCCAAAGATGTCTCTATACCTCAATCTTCAATAGAAATCATAATTCCAAATTTCAGGTTTTCAGCTCCATCCTGTCAAGCAAAATCCAAATTTTACTAAATTTAGTACCATATAGTACCTTTCGTACCAATAAGTACGAATTTCCTAAACTACCTCAATTCTACACTCCAACAGTCATTTTAATTCCTAATTTGAAGACTCCAGCTCTATCTGTTCACATAAATTCAACTTGCACCAAATTTAGTACCGTTTAATTCCTCTTTTCAGGATTCCATCTCTATACACTCAACTAAATGCAAATATTAACAAATTTAGTACCATTTTGTACTTTTTATACACATAAGTACCAATTTCTTAAGTTTCTAGGTTTAACCGTTTCGTCTGAGCGATGATCTGTCAGTCCTTCACTCACTTACATAACACTAAACTCTTTTATATATTAAGATGAAGTATGCATCGTTTTGCAAAATATAATAAATATATTCTAAAATCCGTTTGTTAAAGATGCATTTTACGACATTGTTAAAAGGAAATTTATAATTTGTGGATGAATCAATATCTTAATCATACTCCCATCTCGATACCAAATACCCAACCTTGTATAATTGTACCATTATGTCATGTTTTTTTTAACATTTTTTTTATTTTTTTCTTGGTGTTATCTAATTTTATTTCCAAAATCTGACCGTCTTTATATTTGTTGTTTTTGCCGCCATTAGCCCATTAAGAAAATGAGGTGTATTTAAAAAGGTGTTAGTGACAATCATATGGTTTCAAACTTGTTTCTTAATCGTTTGTAAAGCAACATGTCAAACACACACTCCGACGTTTTATTTCATTTAGGGTCGTACTGAAAATAGTATTTAGGAAATACGGACGTCCAGCAAACCTAATAAATGTGAGCAGGTGGATATTTTAGTACGCAACGCACGGAGTTTAGGTACGGGTACGCCACCCACGATCAATATATATTTTGGAATTATCCTCATCTCTCAATCATAAAATTCCAAAAGTAAGGATTACAATAGAATATAGTCCAAATAAGTGGGATAAGTTGTTAAGAAAATTATTTCTTAAAATTTAAATTTTTGTATATATTTTTTACAAAAAATATTGAATAAAAAATAAAGAATAATGAATTTACTAAAATTACAATTTGTTTTTTTTTACGGATACAACAAAAATGGTAAGTATACATGCTCCTACGCATGCGACATACTGTGTGCGATGACGTCACAATTTTTCATTCACCTGCTTGTATGCATTTTTTCGTAAATTTCACAAAAATACCAGGCGCCCAGAAGAAAATAGAAAGAAGCCCGCCAAAAAAATATATATAAAAAATTGCATCTGGCAATGCCGTACAAGGAAATTACAAAATTTGTAGCATACTTTTAGGCACTCTAATTTTTTCGTGGGTTGGGTGTTGCCAGACCAAAATTTTTCGAAATTTTTATTTTTGGCGGGCAACTTGTACTTCATTCTGGGCGCCTGGTATTTTTGTGAAATTTGAGCATAATTGCACCAACTTTTTTGGGATTTTTTTTTCAAATTCATTGGGACCCATTATTGTGACATTAGGCATTATTGTTACTAAGAAACTAATATTGTGAACCCCCACTAAGATATTTTTTTAGATGCCCATAAATAGACACACATTTTTTGTATTTTACTTAATAGTACTTAATGGTAGTGTAGAGGTACAAATTGATGAACGATGTCAGGCTCAGCTGGATATTTTCTTTCAGAAATTGCTCAAACCTACCAGGCATCCAGAATAGGTAGATAGAAATTTTAACTAATTTATTTTAATTGGCGGGCTTTTGGTTCCGTAACATATACCAGGTTTGATATTCGGAACAATATTTTTGGGTTCATATCAGGAAATAGATTTCAAAAAATTCAACATAACTTATTTGGTAGTCCTTGGGGACCAGATATGGGCGTGGATTCATAAAAAATACCAAGAACCACAAATGTAAGTGGGTCTCAGGGCGGTCTTTCCTGACCTATAAGGTATCATAATGAAGTAAAAAAATTGGTCATTGGTAGGGAAACGGAAAATTTTATTTCGAAAACTTAGTTAAGGTTCTAAATAATTTTTCACATAAAACATTTCATATTTTTTAAATTCGAATTATAATTAAATCACGAAGTAGCCAGAATTCCTACCATTCATATGGCACAATTTTTTTACAACATCTGCAGTAGTTGAAAAAAATCACGACATTAAATTTTTCATTTATGATTTTTTCAACTACTGTATCTGGTAGCCTATTACCTGAAAAAAACGAAAAGGTTTTTTTAAAAAAGACAAAAATTGTTTTCATAATGTCTGCTGTTGGATGACAATCATAGCATACTTGTACTTTGGAACTACTGGAGGTATTGTAATAAAATTATGTAGGAGGATAAAGCTAGTTTCAGGCCATGAAAGACATTTCTGAAGCAAAACATATACGTTCACACATAATTAAGTTGTACCAAATATAGTACCGTTTAGTACACATAAATACTATGCTTCCATATTTCAATTCTATATTCCAACAGCAACCATTATTCCAAATTTTAGGTTTCCACCTCTCTGAAAATGTTACCAAATTTAGTGCCGTTTAGTACTTTTCTTGCACATAAACACGAATTTCCAAAGATGTCTCTATACCTCAATCTTCAATAGAAATCATAATTCCAAATTTCAGGTTTTCAGCTCCATCCTGTCAAGCAAAATCCAAATTTTACTAAATTTAGTACCATATAGTACCTTTCGTACCAATAAGTACGAATTTCCTAAACTACCTCAATTCTACACTCCAACAGTCATTTTAATTCCTAATTTGAAGACTCCAGCTCTATCTGTTCACATAAATTCAACTTGCACCAAATTTAGTACCGTTTAATTCCTCTTTTCAGGATTCCATCTCTATACACTCAACTAAATGCAAATATTAACAAATTTAGTACCATTTTGTACTTTTTATACACATAAGTACCAATTTCTTAAGTTTCTAGGTTTAACCGTTTCGTCTGAGCGATGATCTGTCAGTCCTTCACTCACTTACATAACACTAAACTCTTTTATATATTAAGATGAAGTATGCATCGTTTTGCAAAATATAATAAATATATTCTAAAATCCGTTTGTTAAAGATGCATTTTACGACATTGTTAAAAGGAAATTTATAATTTGTGGATGAATCAATATCTTAATCATACTCCCATCTCGATACCAAATACCCAACCTTGTATAATTGTACCATTATGTCATGTTTTTTTTAACATTTTTTTTATTTTTTTCTTGGTGTTATCTAATTTTATTTCCAAAATCTGACCGTCTTTATATTTGTTGTTTTTGCCGCCATTAGCCCATTAAGAAAATGAGGTGTATTTAAAAAGGTGTTAGTGACAATCATATGGTTTCAAACTTGTTTCTTAATCGTTTGTAAAGCAACATGTCAAACACACACTCCGACGTTTTATTTCATTTAGGGTCGTACTGAAAATAGTATTTAGGAAATACGGACGTCCAGCAAACCTAATAAATGTGAGCAGGTGGATATTTTAGTACGCAACGCACGGAGTTTAGGTACGGGCCTTAAATTTTAATTAAAAATACATTTGAATATTAGAGTTGGTAATATAATTTTTTCGTAAAATATATATAAAAACAGTAAGCAAATTCCCTAAATAAACATTCTGTTGTATTATCGCCATAAAATGACACAATTTAAAATTTATCTCTTATTTTTTAGTATATATATATACATTGATTGTCAGCATGCCAATTTCATTTCTATAGCAACAATATTGGTTGTCAGTCATAGTACAATACAAGGTAACTGCAAAACTACAACAAATACAATTCAACAATCACATAGAAAATTGTTATTGTGTGTAACCCTGGTGTCAGTTTTATACCAAAAACTATTAATAATGACTTAGGTTTCGGGCAGGGCATAATTACAGAAGGTAGACTCTTTTGAGAATTTTATGAATTTTTAACACTACATTGCCGAAGGCGGTCATTTCGACCGCATTCCACTTTCAAGTACAAAAGCAACTGTGCATTTAATGACACTTTTTTTAACAATTTAGTGACTTTTTGTACCTCATAGAATTACGTTTATTATAAAAAATTCACCAAATTTAAATGCACAGTTGCTTTTGAAATTGGAAAGCGGTCAAAATGACCGCCTTCGGCGTTCTAGTGTTAATTTGGAACTCATCTATCAATTTTAGATAATATGAAAAATAAATTCCATAAAGTTTTATGTATGTCGATTGGCATATTTTCAATAAATTAAACAAAATGTATTTTCTAAAGCTGAACATTGTACTAAATATTTAACCATGATTGTTACATCTTATATTTTTAAGTTTTAGTGGAAGGATACTTACACATATTTATAAATTTAAATTATTTAACAATTTTTGCCACTGAACATTTCGTATATGTGATATTTGTTTTTTCATAAAACCACTGCTCTAATTATGGCCAAAATTCGGATCACTAGCACATAGTGCACTGTGACGAAATAAAAAAAAAACTGAATTTACAATTCCAAATTCAATTTGTCGGGGAAAACATATTTTTTGGAAAATGAAAAACAATGAAAAAAGCCGTGCGTATCACCTAATCAAGTTTCCAGATTTTATCTCTATGGTTTAATTTGTAGTTTCATGGGAATTTCAAAATAAGTTGGCTTGTTGCACGAATTTCCGAACTACTTCCCACAAATCCCTGTTGCTGAGCTACATATTGTAAAATATCTTCTCTATTCATGTATGAAAAAGGCCTTATACCACAAAGTAGACATGTATGAGTAGAATATTTAATTTGGTCTTGGTATATTTTGTTCGTTAACATTTTCGCTTAAATCTACACATACATACATAATTTATGTACATAGGACTTATGTTAAAAGTACGTCTGCACATTGTTTTGATCGTTTCCATTTTTGAGCTAAGTCTTTAACTACTCGAAGCTAAGCTATCGTTTTTTGGCAATCACAAACTCCAGGATTCATACGAACTGGTCCATGAACTGACGTGAGCCCAATGAGGAAAGCTGGCTAAAAACTCTCTGAATTCGTCGGAAACGTTGATATTGTCCGTTACTTTATGGCCAATTACAGCAATGTCGAATGTCAAGCCAGACCAATGAGGGTGTTGGTGCTGAAAAGGTAAGACTTTATAATTATACGCAGGAATAAGTATTGCCATCCGATTTGTTACCTTAAAGGTTAAACTACATTTAAGTGGGGATGGATCCAGAGCATAAGAGAAATACACAAAAAATGGAGGTTGGAAATTATTTTCTAACGGTATTCTGGTGAAGGACCAATCCACCAGTGACACATTCTGCTGGGGTTGAATAAATATACTGATGTGATTTGGACCAGCAAACTCCAAATTGAACACCACCGTATCAGGAGCTGTACTCTGTTTCGAAGCGATTCGCATAGTAGGCCATCCACTGCGATTGGGCTGAGAAGCCGGAACCCAGAAACTTTGATTTCTACAACACAATTAAAACAATGTTGACAAATTTATTCAAAGGCAATGCCAACGAATTACCTCCATCCCAGCCATCGGGTGCTGTAGATTGGGAAACCGCATTGTATTTCTTTTGCACAATCTTCCTTTCGACTTGCCTTGGTAAGATTTGAATTTTCAAACATGAAGTCAATGGAGTGGGGGTGGCGGTCCACCGGTACAACATAAAAACCAGAATCCTCGCGTCTAACACTCATTGCAGCATCGCCGTTGTGGAAGGTCCGGGTAGTGTGCTAAACAAAGCAAAAAGCATTTTGTATGTGTTAAAAAAAATGTCAAAGCCGATCGATATACATAGATCCCCTGGAATCAAGTAACCGACATTTTACACCCTCCACCATGAGAAAAACTGAAAACCGGGGGGACCATTCAACTTTAACATTGATGCAAATGTATGCTCCACATATTTTGGCATTCGAGGGAGTTATTGAACTGGGAGTATACTGGTTCTTTGATCCCTTATATACCAGCATTGAAGGAGTGTTGTACACTCGTTAGTATTACTTATTATACCTACCACAGCATAGAATCTCTGAGGAGCATCTTTTTCGACATAGGGGAAAGCAGCGGGGGTGGCCGCCAATATTATGAATACGACACAAAGTACTCCGAACAATGATATGATGGTCTTTGCCTTGCGGAATAAGCAGAGTAGAGGAACCTGCAAATGTACAGATACATGTGTAAGTCTGTCGTCACTCACAGCCCTGGGACGTTAAAATAACTCACCAAGAACGCTGCAAACAACAGGCACATCAATGCCGTAAATCCGCCAATTAGAATTTCCGGATTACTGTTGGCTCCATCACGGCCCTGCATTGGTATGAACGTTACGTAGAAGGCGTAGCAGATGTATGTGTAGAACAGGTACGGCAGGATTTGGCAAACGGTATGAGGAATCAACCAGTGGAAATCTGCAATAGATGGTGGATCAAACAACATCCGATGTGTTCCCCCTCCCTGTGAACTTACTCTTCTTGTGGAAACAGGTGACAACGTTTAGTATGACCGACAGCGTGTAGAACGCAATGCTCAGCATAATGACAAAGGCGGACCTTATGCCAAAGGCAATCATTACTATGGTGATTATGGTCAATATTAAGCAATGGGCGTGCATTAGTAGCTGTATGGCGTAGGCCAATGGGAGGCCATGCTCCTTGGTCCGACTGAAGTAAATGGCCGGCAAGATACCCATAATAAAGAACATGGGGCAAAAATACAAGCCGAAAATCATCCAAGGCTGCGAGAACCATGCCATTGAGAGATTAACAGCGTCCATGAAGACGGAAATCAACAATGTTACACACATTGCCAGGATAACGGCGGCCAATTGGATGCCGAATAAGATTCCAAATTTGCTGAAAATTCGACGGCGGAACATCCCAGTTTGGTGGGCCATATTCCAAATGTAGCCCAGCAATGCCAGTATGAAGATTACACAAATGATAATGTTGACAGCCATGCCCGTCTCTTCGGAATAGTAAACAATGAACCATCCGAGGACATCGTAGAATACTGTATGGCCCTCGGCATATTTCTGGAAAAGGATTTTGTACGATTTGTAGTTATCATCACCGCCCGGCGAGGCAATCATTCATAAGGTTGTAAACGCTCTTACCTCTGGATCTTCGAGCTCTGGGGCATTTGCTAATGCCTTTGCCAAGCTTAATATGTTGTTTCCCGTTAATTGGTACGTTCTTCTGGGAATTGCATTGAATCGGTCATATTTGGTGTGATAGATAAATCCATTGTATGAATGAGCCATATCCAAACCGGGAATCTTCCCAAAATCTCGGAAAATGCGGTAATCGGTCTCGGAAGGTACAAATCCATTTTGAAACAATTCTTCAGCAATTGTTGAGGCATAAGGATGGACAATGTTTGCGCCATAATACTGCAATGGCGAGATCAAATATATATTTTCGGTTAATTCCGATGACGTCACGTGTGTATATGTGCTGTATGTATGTATTTGTGTATGTATAATATAATAGTTATAGTGCAGTTGTGTATGTTTGTTTTCCTAGTCGACATTACTTAGTGATGTTGTCGAGGGGTGTAACCGTAAGCTTAAAACAAACCTTCATGAGCCAAGGATGGTCAGGTCCTGATTGAAATAAAATTTCACGGCCTCCGGATCCAGCCGAATCTAAATTCATAACAGCCCTGTAAAGAAATGATAAAATAAAAGACCTCAAATAGTTGTCATACCGAAGTTGTAAAACATAGACCTACCTCACATTTTTCGCCCATGGATGCTGTGTTATAAAGGCATGTGAACCCTGTAAGGGATTTTCTTCAGCTCCGTTGAAAAGAAATACAATAGCGTGATCCAAGGGCGTGTCGAATTTTGTAATAATCCTCATAGTTTCAAGCATTACAACAATCATCATGCCGGCATCGCCGGCTCCTGAACTACCCGGAACGGAATCGTAGTGACTGTTTATTAGTAAGGCGGCTGTACTATTGGAATTTTTACGCGATACCCGAACTACCACATTCTGTATCGACTGATAGCAGTTAACCATTTCCCATAGCACGTAATTCCCCGAAGCAACCTGGACGTCTTCTTCAATATCGTAGAGATCGAGGCGAGCATCATTTTTAATACTTGATATTTCGCTAAGCAAAAAATGCACGGTCACTTGTTCATTGGCGGGACTACCCACAACTTTGGGTCCAATCTTGGTAAGTCTCAATAACGTATTCTCAGCTCTTTCGCCAATGAAACGCCCGGGATTATTGGCTTCTTCGTCGATGGTTATCGTGTCGGGGAAGTAATGGAAGCTCGGTATGACAGCCAAATAAAAAAGTAGAAACCAGAAAGCTACAAATACTGGCGCCCAATACCAACCGAACTTACTTCGATTGTAAATGATTTTCATATTTTCATATTTGGAATTCATCATAGCGATGGATGGATTTCGCAGCTGCCTATAAATAAAAAAATAATAATTTAAAAATAAGGTCCCCTTAATCAATATTCATCGCAGCTTAAGAAATACAATTTGCTCGACCGCAAGAATTATCACAGTAGTTGATATTCTTCAAAGTGCCGACCGATATCAGTACGACTAGTATTGGGTATCATTTACTTGTTCGCCAATCATAAAACCATTCCGATAACAGCAAATTAAAGGCACTTCACGTTGCAACTGCTGTCAGTAGGTCTGCATCAAATGTGTATCCGACTCACAGAACTCGAGTTAATCGAATTATAATCTAATATTATAACACATAAATCGATACACGTATGTATGTATATGTGGTGTTTCCACACAATCTGTATGTTTGTTATAATCGTATCGTGGAATATTCGCTGGATGTGTTGAGAGTTGTTGGTGTAGGGGTCGAATGAACATGTTTGGTCACTTTTGGCATTGAATGCTACATATTAGAGTTTATTTCCCATAACCTATGTTGATCTTATGCTTGTCGTCCTGTCCAATACGCCAATAAACTATTTGGTTAAGGTACACTTTCTAAGTTGATTCAAGCTTCTTGTCGGATTCGATTTATTCGTTTAGATGCTTAACTCTTTATGGTCCAATGTTGCCCACAGGCAACAAAATGTTTTAAAGTTTATATTTAAAACTCAGCGAGTAAATATATACTTTTTGCGTTGCAAATGTTAAGATCTGATTATGGAGGACACATATCAAACGAAAAATCTAAAAATTCACATTTTTGGTTAGCTTTTCCATATATATTTGAGTGCAAAAATTTGTACCGAGCCAACATGTGTATACAGTCCAAATTATTTAAATATCTTCGCATTCGAAATGTACCCTACAAATTACTTTTGATTCTTGTAAAAAAGAACCAAATGTATAATTAAAAGAGATTTCTTCGTCGATATTGCATTTGCTTTTCTTTGTATTGGACTTTTATTTCGTTGATGGTATCTGACAAAGAGCTGAACTAAAGGGTGATGAGCAGATAATCTTGGTTATACAAACAAATATTTACATATGTACATGTATGTATGCATGTATAATTCGTTTTAAAAATATTTTAAAACACAACATGAACAACATATGTATTTGCATTATCCGAATACCCATAACACACAGCCTGTACATAAATATGTATGAGAAGAACATCAAATATATTCGAAATGAATGTGCTGAATAACTCTTCCATGTTGAGGTCTTCCACACATTCGTATATTGGTGTCAAAATATTTCCTTGTGTTAGTCATAAATATTTCGAAACAAAGCATTAATGCGGATTCAACGATGAATCCGCTGGTGGTGGTGCTGTTTGTTATGTCTTCACTCATTTCATGGAGTTAAGTTTGAATGGACCCACAACTTTATATTTGTCCGTTTTTAAGACTCAGTATCTAGCGGGTCAAACGGACCAGGACTTTCCGAAAGTTGCCGGTCTGCGAATGCGGATCTTTGTACTGTTGCTTACACTATCTTATCTGGATTTTGCACCACGATACTGTAATAGGAATTTCATCAATGGCCGAGTGTTTGTACAGTTGTGTAAATCGCTGCTCTCTTTTTCGAAGAGTTACATTGCAAATATGTGTACATTAGAGTTATTTTTAAGAGTTCGTACATATTTTTCGCAACCTTTCGGAAATGTGTTGATGGCTCTCAATTACTCTCAAAATTACAGAACCATTTGTATTCCAAGAAATGTCTATAAGGCTTCAGCGTTCCTTACAAATAAATACAATGGATTCTCAATGTTGGCACTATGCTGCAGCAAATCACTTGTAAAAAGACATAACCCTAAGGTACACGCGCGAACGTATACACTTTTATACGCACGAAGAAGCCATGCAAGTGTATGATGACGTTTTGCAACATTTGCTATCATATCTATAATTTTTATTAGGCCGAAGTCCGCACTGAGATGTGAATTTATTTCCAATGGTTGTTGTTAGTTTGTGAGTAAGGTCTGTGAATTCGCACTTTTTCATTGCCGAGAAAACCGGGAAGAGCTTCTCCTTCCAGGGATTTTAATTTCGAACCTCATTGTAGAGGAATGTACAGTGAGTGAAATAAGTATTTTGCCTCAATACAAATTTGACAAAATTCTAATATATACGCCTAAAGCCAGCATAATAAAGATGTAAAATGAATTATGTATGATGGGATATGTTTGTGGACATATTTAGATCTTATTTCTGCAAGAATCACTGCGAAAGACCTATTGGTCTCGAAGATATCGCCCAAACCTATGCCAACCCAAAAATGATTATCACAAAAAAGTATTTTGCTTTTTATTATCATTTTTGAAAAAATCATTATATAAAAACACGCTTTGTCTTTTTATAGTTACCATTGCGGGTAAACACATACTAAAAGCGATTTGGCGACGATTCCAATAAACCACTGCATTTTTTCGCGAATATTTTCTCAAATTTACGTTCAATACATTCTCCAGCAATTTTTCATTTAATATATGGTAATTTCTCGTCCTAATCTCAAATGGGAGTATTAGATATAGTCGTCGCGGCTTCAAAACATCCCAAATAAGTTTAGAATAACAAAAAGGAGGTTTTGCAAAATAAATCGCGAGAACAGGACCTTAAAAACTATTAAAACCAAAATCCGACAAACAAATTATTTAAAAAAATATCGCGAATACCCATTTTTCTGACTTTGAAAACTTTATGGTTCATTAATATTGATCTAGGAACCAATATATGCGATGAAAATAGCAATAAGGTGGTCAGATTCAAAGAAATGAACAGTTCTAAAACAACAGAAACTACAAACAGTACATGAAGTTGGGAGAAAACATCATTCTTCGTCAAATACTATTGCGTTTTAAAAAACTGTGGTAGATGGTGACGAATACGCAGTCAATATTTTACATCCGTTTAACACCATCAGTTGCGAATAAAATGCATCAGTGAATAAACTGGCCGATCTATTTATTTTCGAAATTTTATGTATTTCTATTGCCACAAAACCGTTCATATCTTAGAATCTGACCTTCTTATTGCTATTTTCATGGCATATATTGGTTCCTAGATCAATATTAATGGACCATAAAGTTTTCAAAGTCAGAAAAATGGGGTTTCGCGATATTTATTTCAATAATTTGTTTGTCGGATTTTGGTTTTAATAGTTTTTAGGGTCCTGTCCTCGCGATATATTTTGCAAAACCTCCTTTTTATTATTCTAAAGCTATTTTGGGATGTTTTGAAGCCGCGACGACCATATCTAATACTCTCATTTTGAGATTAGGACGAGAAATTACCATATATTAAATGAAAAATTGCTGGAGAATGTCCACAACAGAGAATGTCCACAAACATATCCCATCATACATAATTCATTTTACATCTTTAGTATGCTGGCTTTAGGCGTATATATTAGAATTTTGTCAAATTTGTATTGAGGCAAAATACTTATTACACTCACTGTATATTTTTGAAAAATGCATGCCTATCAATAAAAAAATGTGTACAAATATGGTAAATGCTACCAATTTCAGTATATTCCGTTAAAAAAACAACGACTTAACAACCCTTTTTAGCTTCTTAGTTACCACTTTTACACTGCCACACAAAACCAAGTACATTACACATGGAACTGAAACCCCGTACATTGTTATAATTTTATAAAAACGGTTATAAATCGCATCGCCAAAATGACAAAAATAAGATTAAAATTGGTAGATGCACTTTTACTCACTGGCGTTTTAATTTTTGTATTTGATCTGAAATACCACATACATATATGAATGTATATGCGCACTCATTAATAAATAAATAACATTCTGTTTATGAAAATATTTCCGGCGTTTGTTGTTGTTATCTCTTTGATTTCGATCTATTTTCATAAAAAAGAAAAATCAACATGATATATAAATAAATATTTTGTACACGAGACACGAAAATATGTAAGTGTGAGACCGCAAGATACCTAATAGATTCGGCCGAAATACCGAATTCCTAAAACACTTCCTACTCGTATCCGGCCGAAAGCCTAGGCAATTCTTCGTACAACACAGATTGGCACGTCATGGAACTTTGATCATCCGTAAGCATCTGTCTGGCGCGGAGCCACACGCATTCGCAACAACAATGCAATCACAACTATACACTAAAACACTTTCGTATATACACACATACACATGCATGTATATCGCGTTGACGTAATGATCTTGCCGGTAAAACGATCGGATAATGTTTACGCCTTCGATGCAACGCCACAACTGAGAGATGAGATGTCTGGTACAAGCAGAACACTATGCCTCAATCTATCGCTGAGCAGTAGCAAGATGCGAACAGAACATTGGCACACATCTATCTCAGCGTCTGCGTGAGTGTACTTGACGCATCAACTTGAAGAGTCTTTACAATGTGGTTGTCGATCAAAAGAGAAGTAGAGAACGTACAAACTGTTGCAGATGTTGATTGGGGATTCTCTTAGTTTGAACTCTTAGATCGCGAATATCATCCTTCGGTAAAAATATACTATTTTCCGAGATCACCACCGTATACTTGCTTTTCTGGAAGTATGCCGAGCAACTACCCTTCCGATGGGCACTTTACGAGCTACTGAGTCTATGCTACTTCAGTAGTCCCACTTTATAAACTTTTACACTTTAACAGCACAGTGGAATACCAGCGCGACGATGTGCTTTATCATGAACGGTCTTTTTATTTGTTTACAATCGTCCGATCGGTCGATTCGTTTCGCGTAGTCCGGTAGTCAATTCACTCCACTAGTTTGGTGTGGAAAGAATGCTTTTGAGTTGCAGACGGAACAACCACAAATGCGGCGATGGCCTTCTGCGGGTGGCATCAAACCAACATTGAAGGAATATCAGATGTTGGTCTGTTCTCGGCTGATTGTTAATATTTGAAGTTCATTTCATTTTTCGAATCGAAAGTTTTTGATATTGAGCAATATGTAGATCGTTAGTTCATTTCATTTTTCAAATCGAAAGTTTCTGATATTGAGCAAAACATATGTGGTTATGTCCATTTGTATCTTGAACCGCATGCGTTGAAATTAAATATCCCTCTGCCCTATGCAACTGTCTCTTTAAATGAAACCGAATCCTTTTCTTTTGTTTACAGATTATTTAGCTCTGATAACGCTGTGTATTTTTATGGCTCCAATATATTTCGTACAATTAAAAATGATCGTGTGTATGTGTGGGCCATTTATATGAATTCAAGAATTTCTAAGCGATTAGATACTGTTCCTTAATGTGTTTATAATCGGTTGTGAACACCTCACACGACATTGTTCATGTGTTTCAAACAGACTGATTAAGATTAAACAGAAGGTATTCTTTAAACACGTTTCTGCAACTATTTAAATATCACTACGGCAAGATATACAAGGAATTACGGATTTACCGATTAAGGCCCAACATGCCGACTATAGTATATATGTATATATTACAGATAGTTTAATTCTAAAGTGTTTGTCTTCATTAATATTACTTAATACATTAAATGTACACTTATATATACATATATCGTACTTTGTATATCATATACATATATCGTACTTTGTAAATTGAACGGCACAATATTACCTGTTAGTGAGTTGTTACTCACATTAGGAGGCAAGACATAAAAGTGGTTACAACCACTTTAAAAACATTTACATTCATTTCATAAAAATGATAGTAATGAAATGTTTTTTTTTTTTTTATTTTTACTTTCTGAAATACTTTCGATTTCACAGTGCACTTCATAATTCCATCCAGATCAGTTGAGTTACAACCACAAGCTTAGGACAAACTGCTACCTGGAAAAGGTTATTTATGTTGCAATTCTCGAAACTGCTTGCATACGAATATGAAAACACGCAGCATAAATTTTGTTAAATTTTGTTTTGTTATTTACTATAATTTTTGGTTTCTGGTGTTCTAAGAAGGCGAATAACTTCTTCATGAACAAATCTGCTATTTGCTATATTTTTTCGTCATCATCCGGACCAACATTTTTTTAAAAGACACTAATGGAAATGGTATTAATTGCTATCGTATTATCAAATGTGTTTAAGATCTACTTCTTTGGCTGATAGAGGGATTGCTCGTCTTCAAATATGTGCAGCTACATGTTTACGCACAGATTTTATGCAAGTAAATATAAACGTACACACATACATGCACGGACTTGTTAAGTTATACATGGCCCCGGCAATGTCACCATCTCCGTGTAGTTATTTCTGTTCGTCTCTCACTTCTGTGTATGACCAAGAGGGGCCAATGGTATCTGTAAGCCGCAACGACAAATGCCTGGCAATTGCGAAACAAACAAACCCTCAAATCAACATCATCACAACTTGGCATATCGACGCTATGATAAAACGTTAATCTGAACTTTACGTTTAGGCATTCTATACTGACATTCAATTACCACCACTTGCTTTTTATCGATTCCGATATCGACGTTTTCAGATAAGATGACTCGAATCACCGCCACAGAGGGAAACGATATTTTCTGGATATTTGAAGACGGAACATCTAATGAATTCTTCAATTGGATATGGACGTCGTCGCCGTTAGGACGTCTTCGTGTTCTGATTGAGAGTGTCGTTAAAGCGCGGAGTGTAAAGTGAAAAGAAGAGTCGGTTCCCTCTACATATCCTTTTCGAAGGGTTTTCTACGTCTAATTGCTGCTGTGAAACTTAAACTGGCTTCCTGGAAACATTCGGGATAATACCGCGAATACAATGGGTGTATGTACTAAAACTAAGAATTGTGATGTACAATGTTGTGGAAGTGTGTGTAAATAGACTGTGACATCAATGATATTGCTAAAATTGTCAAATGAAATGAAATAGCCATTTACAGGTGATGGCCCACATCGACGTAACAGGATACCGCTCATATTAACGCAGAAAACTGAACTGAGAACGCGAGCAATATGCTCTAAATCAAAACAGGCATTATAATGTACTTTGGACGCTCTTCACATACCTATTTGAGCCTTCCTCAATATAACGGCTTGTATATGCAAAGTTTCTTCATGACATTGAAACTTGTTCGGTTACAGTGGTCATCTGCTTTGTCATATACATTTGACCTGACAATGGGTATAAATGTAGATGAACTTGCATTGCATTGCATTAAAACCATAATAAATTTGGCGACGTCAATCACATTTCCAATTTACAGAACACCTAGTCGAATCCGCAATACCAATATTGACCATACGCCACGTTAGCCTCATATCTCAAACCTCAGATACCATTCGCAACACATTCTGATCAATATTCGATGATATTGTTGAATCCTACACTTGGTCGGCGTTGTATAACATCTTGCTAATATGACAGTGTGTGTGTGTGTGTGATCGCAATTGACTGCTTCTAATCAGCCGGGCACTGACTGCCATTTTATGACTTCATAAAAATGAAAATAACTTTTAAAAAGTCCCGCAATATTTTATCTTAGTGCGGGTAAATATTATTGTTTTATCATGGCCATTTATTGATCGATATCGTAGCCATTTGCCATTGGCAAAACAACTAACTAACGAAACCCACCTCCCAATTTGTTACTTTAGATGTCTTTATCTAAGTGTCTCATAAACTGAAATTCTTGTTACCATAACGGAAGCTTCGTTCGATTTGGGGCTGTAATTATTCAATAAACGATTCAAATTAATGTTCATACTGTGGCGATAAGAACCTGGCAAAGGTTATTATTGGCACAGATGATTCAGCGATATTTCCTCCATAGGAATAGCGTTGCAATATGAACCGTTTTCTTATTTTCGAACATTACATTCTTGAGATGGCTGTGTGCGCATCAATGTCTCCCTGGACTATTGGTTTTGAAATGAACGCGATTTGGTTAATCGGTGCAAAATGTATTCATGTGCACGGTACTTATTAAGATTAGGGCCGAATCTGCTGAAACGCGACTTGACAGACTAATAGAGGACAAGACCTGACCGCCCATTGTAACTAACTGTTACAGATATATCCTCGAACTTAGCGATCATTATCATTGATCCCTCAGTTTGTTTTGTCGAAATTTTACTAACACACACAATGACAATCAATGTCGTCGTTATCGTTAACGTATTTCACAAACGCAGTTATAAACATAGTTGGACATAAAAGGTTCCAAGTGGCGGTGGAAGGATCATGACTGTGATAAAGTATATTGCCAATGGATGCCAATGTGTTTAGGTATGTCGATTTGGTATTTGGTATTTTGGTGCCTTGCTGGATAAGTCTCTTCTGGTAATTAACATCGAGAGGATCCTTTTTTAATGTTGGAGCAATGAATCTCCGCCAATCAAAAATAGCTACTTACATATATTTTTAAAATTGCACGTGTATATACATATATATTTGTAGCTTATGTCCCAATTTATATTAGGCGAGTTTAATTGCGGCAAGACTTTGTATGAAGGAGAGAGGGGCAAGTGGAATAGAAATTGGAAAAAATTGATCGTACCGGCAATTTTCTTTCAATTCGTTTTGTGTATTTTTTTTTTTTTTGTAGTGTCAGTAATTTGAAATACCAATCCAGAACATTGTCACAAAATGTAAAAAAAAAATTTTTTTGAAATCGACTTGCCTTGTATAGACGATTGAAGCAAGTTCAAAAGAGAACGATAAAAATTGCCGCAAGTAAACTCGCCTAATATAAATCAGGACTATCTTTCCAGTTTGTAATTAGTTTTTTTTTCGTTAGTTCAAAACAAAATATCACATAGATGTCGATTTTGAAGTACCTAAAAAGATTCCCTGGTACTATGCACCATTGTTTGCATCTTTTTGGCTGGCGCTGTATTTGGCCATAGTAGTTACACAAATAAATCATCTACCAGATGCACTTAATCGCAAAGATGAAGCCAACCATCCGGAGGCATTCATATCGGAACGTGCCGAAATGCAGCTCATTAATTTATCTCGCATCGGTCCTAGGGTGGTGGGCAGCGCGGCTAACGAAGTGACAGCCGTCGAGTTTCTTACGCAACAAATCGAGGACGTTAAACTCCAGGCCAGCGATTACTTTCAGTTCGAGTTAGATGTACAATTGGCCACCGGCAGCTACATGCACTGGTCCATGGTTAATATGTACCAGAATATACAGAATGTGGTGGTGAAGCTGAGTGCCAAGAATTCGACAAGTGAAAACTATCTGCTTATTAACAGTCATTATGACAGTGTGCCCGGCAGTCCGGGCGCGGGCGATGCCGGTTCTATGGTGGTTGTAATGTTAGAGGTAATGAGGGTAATCTCCAAATCACAGGGACCACTTGAGCACCCAATTATCTTTCTATTCAACGGAGCTGAAGAGAATCCTCTCCAAGCGTCGCACGCATTTATCACTCAACACAAATGGGCCAAGAACTGCAAGTATGTTATTGGGCAAATATATCCTTTCACCTTTTTCACCTTCGTCTATGCTATCATAGAGCACTTATAAATCTAGATGCGGCTGGCAATGGTGGGCGTGAAGTTTTGTTCCAATCGGGCCCGGAAAATCCCTGGCTAATGCGTTATTACCGTGATGTACCACATCCCTTTGCCACATCAATGGGCGAGGAAATTTTTCAAGCCGGAATTATCCCGTCCGATACCGATTTCCGTATTTTTCGTGATTATGGCGGCGTACCTGGTAAGAATATCTCAGAGATTACTTGCAAAGAGACATTTGCTCAAGCAAATATTTTCTACAAAATAATAGGTTTCGATATGGCCTACATTTTTAACGGGTATGTCTATCACACTGAATACGATCGAGTCAATATCGTCTCCAAGCAGTCGCTTCAGAACACTGGCGATAACGTGCTTGCACTGGCCAAAGGAGTGGCTAATGCTCCTGAAATGCGCAATCCCCAGGTAATATTTGGACGTAAAAAGCTGTTGGTTGAGAGTTGGACTTTTTTGAATTTCACTCTTGTTTGCGTTTTACAGGAACATGCCGAAGGTCACGTCATATTTTATGATTTTCTTGGATGGTTCATGGTTTTCTATACTAAAAACACCGGAGTCATTATTAATGTCGTGGTTTGTATCGTGGCCCTATTGGCCATTGCAGTTTCCTTGTTCTTCATGACTGCCCGATCTGGGTTAACCTGGAAAGCTGTTATTAGTCGCTATCTTACGATCTTTGCCATACAAATAGTATCACTTGCTCTAGCTGCCGGATTAACGATGTTAGTTGCCACCTTCATGGATGGTGTCGGGAGGCCCATGACTTGGTTTTCCGAAACGTGGCTGCTGATAGGTCTCTTCTTTTGTCCCATGTTCTTCGGTATGGGAATATTGCCGGCCTACTACCTCGAGAAAACGAAAAAGGTACTCGTAAAATCGTGATTTTTTACATGAGAAAGGGTTCGGCAGACACTTACATTATTTCCGTTTCTATAGGACAAACTCAGTTTGGGCTTCCGGATCCAGCTCTTTATGCATTCCCATTGCTTGTTCTTGATTATACTAACAATCGTCATGACCGCCATTGGCTTGCGCTCGTCCTTTATGTGCATGATGGCGGTGCTGTTCGACATTACTGCCCTGATTATAAATCTCATTACGAAATGGCACAGGAAGGCGTACTGGTTTGCGATCGCGGCCATGGTTTGCCAAATTTTACCATTCCTGTATTACACGTCCATAGCCCATGCAACATACATGACTATGTTGCCGATGACGGGCCGGTCTGGCTCTGCTTCTAATCCCGATGTCTTAATGGCAGGCATAGCAGTGTTTATGACGATTTTATTTGCTGGCTTCATTGTAAGTAGTGAACGTACGAATCCTTCTAGGGGACAGCCTCATATGTATATGTATTTATAACTCTTTGCAGATGCCACTCTTCTTATTCTTCCATAAAACACGTACCATCATCTACTCCTTCCTGGCAATTACAATTTTGTTCATCATAATCGCAGTCACCCCTGCCGGTTTTCCATATAAGGCGAAAACGGCTACCCAACGATATTCCCTAATCGTAAGTTAACCCGTCGTACTTCCAAGATCCCATTAGATTTACTACATTTGCAACATCTCTAGCATGCCGAACGAACGCTACACAATGCAGACGGCTCCATTCGTCTCCAAGAGTCAGGCATCTATGTCTATCCACAAGATCGCAGAATCAACAGTGTCGATGGTAAGGCAAATCTTTGTCTAGCCTAAATTAATACGTTTGTATATTCATTCTCTCTCACTCACTCTCCCTGTCTCCCTCTCGTTGCTTCTTATCGCCGATATTAGAGTACATAAAGATTATTGGCGAGAAGCATAAGATCAGCGAGTACTGCGATGTGGAAATGTTCTGTGGCATGCCCCTGTACAACCATCGTTGGCACAAGGCTAGAGAGCGCAGTTTCTGGATACCTATAGAGGAGAAGCCCAATTTACCGGGTGCTAAGCCCGCATTAACCCTTATGAACGTGTACCCCTTGGATAGCAGCAGCCGGAAGCGTTATGAGTTTAAGTTGGTTGGACCCGATCACATGACAATCTTCATAGGACTTCAAGGTGAAGCGAAAATCACTGATTGGTCCTTCAATGACACTATGATACGAGACGCATGGGAACAGCCCTACTTTATATATTTTTCTTATGGCAAAGATGAGCTGGGTTCCCTAGATTTCACTATCGATGTAGAGGTATACATATTGTGCCACTTTGAACTTCCTAAATATCATTCATACCTAACAACTTGCATCTTATTTACAGAAATCCGATGGAAATTTCAACGTACCTGTATTGGAAATTGGCGTTGGTGGTCACTGGATTCATCAAGATAAGGTTCGCACCCCCAAATATCAGCAGTTTGTCGAAAGTTTTCCCGACTATGCAAGTGTAAATGATTGGACGGCCTCCTATGAAAGTTACCTCTTCTAATTGGCATTAGATAAAAAACAGACTTCACAGCATCGCATCACGTCATCACCCAAAATGCTCAACAATCCCATCCACGTCCGATCAATACATGTAGTGTACATTAATACTAGATTTAGAACAATGCAAAACGAAACTCTGAACAATAAATTTTAAATTTAAATAAATTTTAATTTCGATTCAGTGAGAGACCAAATGTATTTCCCTATGTGTATCCCAACCGGGCTGCTGCAAATTAGCAGTTGTAATTAAGATATTCCAATATAATTAATAGGCTAATATCATGATATGTGCAATCCATAACGACATTTAAAACCAGTGAGAAAAGTATAAAAGTCGGTCGGAGCCGACAATACGATAGAACAGACATATCGTATTTGGTAAATCGCAAGAAATTAAATGAGTGATCTAGGCATATGAAGCGTATTTTACCAACCCATACACACGATATTCTGAATTCTAGGTGCCAAATAGCATTCCAACCGGGCAAACTTAGGGTCTGGGTTGTACCATTTGTATAACAATTTTTTTATGTGGAAGGGAAGACATCACCTTGTGGTGAAGAAAGCCTCCTGAATACTGTCGTTAGACGTAAACAGAGAACTTAAATGTTTGGAGAGAACGCCCAAAATGCAACATTTTAGCGGCAGAAACTATATATGTATAAGATTATTGACAATGTAACTAAAAGGTCAAACAATGTTTCCTTTGCTACGTGAAATTACAAGGATTAACAAGGAATTTGTGGCAGTAATAATAAACTCAGTAATCAGTTTGGTTTTGGATCCAACATTTTTGAGAGGTCAAGGATATGCTGGTGCGCCTTTCACTTCATTTATTTCATACATAGTAATGCATAAGCTGAATACAGCTAAAAAAATTACATTACAATATACTATCAATGTTGAAATATACAATAAAGAATTAAAAAATACATATATGTATTAACATTATTATACTTATTATTAAAACTGTGCAAATTCCCTATAACATTGGTTCCCATGATTTTAGTTCCATTCATGTAAATTTGGAAACTAGGAAATGAACTCCTCACCAATTTAAATAATATAGACCTACATTTATCATCATTAACAGACACATTATTTAAGGCAAGCCAATTGCTTATATCGGAAAGAGTCATTAATTTACAATATAAAAAAGAGGGGACCCAAAACAAAACCCTGGGGAACACCACTATTAGAATAGGTAAGTCTATTACAAGCCTTAGATAAATCGAAATTACCACCATCTACAGTTTCCCTAATGGTATCCGTAAGATGGAGCAAACATGTAGCAGTAGTATGACCACGCCTAAAACCATTTTGACAATTGGCAACTTTAGATAGCGCTGGAAGTATACTTGTTGGACGCAAATTGCCCATACGAAAAGAGGCCTTGCATTCGGAATAGGTGCAATCCTTGCCAGCTTCCAACAAGAAAGGGTAGTCGACGTACTAAAAATCGTATTAAAACATTGTAAAAAGTAGTAGTAGTCATCTTCATACATAACCTGTGAGATTAACAGGAACTGAGTCCGGGTTGGAAGCAGACTGTATAAAACAATCATTGAGATCATCATCGGGAAAATAGTCATCATCTGAACAACCACTAGCTCTTAATTTCTTCCAGATTTGAGAGCTATCAAGACCGTCAAACATACGAACATAGAACTTTCTTCTCTCATTTATTAAAACTGTATTTGCTCTTCTTCTGTAGGAACAAAATATTTTCCAATTTGCTTAATGCATATCACGTACTGATCTCGCGTGCAAAATTTGCCTTGATTTTAACCAAGAATCTAAACCATTTTTGATACGTCTGCTGACGGTATGTGCAAATGTGTATAAAGCTGTTATAACGTTATTAAGAGCATTAATTTGAGAATTAACATCAGACATTGTAATTGGGAACTACGTTTCAATAACGAAGGTCGACTAAGAAGCATGAAATCAATTAACGAAGTCTACGTGTGTGAAATATCAAAATGAGTCGGAATAGAATTGTGACAAATAGAAAGACCCAATCTTAATGTAATTTCTCTCATTGTACGAGCTTTAGAAATATCATACAAATTATAATTGAAATCTCCTACAACGACAACATTCGAATACCTTACCTTGTGGTATTCTTCAAATTCATCAACATTGCCGTGTGGCAAATAAACAACACCAAAAAGTGTTTTATCAATTCCACTATCTACTTCAATAAATATCGACTCACTAATACCATAGTTAGGCGATCGATAAATAACTTTAAATTTAAAACTCTTTAATATAAAATTCCAACACCACCTCCTCTGGAATTCAGACGGTCATTACGCAAAAAGGTGTAACCAGGTATGGAAACTGTTTTAGATGAAACACAATTTTTCAACGAGGACTCTGATACACTACATAAATAATAAATAAATAAAATCATCAATTTTCAGGTTATTTGCTGAGGGAGGTATGCTCTGGCAGTTTAAGTGTCCAAAGGACAACTGACTTTTAAAGGGTTGAAGTACATTTCTAAAAAAGGAAATTGTGGTCCTATAGTAAGACCACAATTAGCAATATGAAAAAATTAGACGTGGGGAACCAAAAACTTATAACTAATAATATTATATGCACATTAGGTAGAATATATCATAAGCATCCCCGCAAAATTAATTAAAAATAATTACGGAATAAATATTGAAAGTCGCTACTCAAAAAAGGTACATCCATAATACTCTGCAAATGACAAGTCAGCTTTCCCAATCAATATTCTTCCAATTCCCGGAGTATCTGAACACAGTCGTGTAAATTAATAACTTTGCTTCCACCGCTTACAAATGTTACTCGAGCACAAGGGTTATTACCATTTATAATTTAGTACCATGATGCCAAATTATTGTATATAACTCCTACGGTAATGAAACTTGTGACTGTTTCACTCCTAGGTTGTCAAAGAAGTATACTCGAGTTGAGATACTATCTCCCATAATTTACTTGATTAAAATTGGTCCTTGACGGTGATAATTCGCCATTATTTTATTTCTTGTCAGCACTCTATTAAGGGGACGATTTATTGTGCCAGCATCAAGTGACGGCAAGTGTAATTCTTAAACTTTAAACGCATTTTTCACAAAATGACCCTAACATAGTATGTGTATCTACATGGCGTTGAAACACTTCGAAGTAAATAAAATAAATCAAGTTCAGTACATCTCAACAATTCATGCACTGAGTAGTAAGAAATTTGAATTATCTTCAACCCGTAAGAAAAAGAGTGATAATAAATACGTTTTGGGTCACCAAAAGTCCCCAAAGTAGAAGGGTTAAAAAACAAATTTATGTTTTTGTTTGCGAAATTCATACATATTAGAAAAGAACTCAAGTCTCAGTATTGCACGAGTACTCGTACTGTGAAGCATGGATGTGGGTCGATAATGGTATTAGACATTTTTCTTTTTATGGAGTTCGATCTATTTACGAGATTTATGAATTAATTGTTTTCATTTTTTATACAAATGTGTTGAAAACGCTATAGTTCCCTTCGTTGAAGAAAACATACCGCTTATTTGCGTGTTTCAGCTTGACAATAGTTTCAGAAATACGACCAAGCATGTCAAAGACTGGTTGTGTTTTATAATGGCCAGCACAATCACCGATCATATTGGGCAATGTATCGTAAATTTACTTATTTAAAAGAAAAAATCCAAAACTAGCCATGCCGATTGGGCCAATTTTGATTTTTTTGGTTGGGTTTTATAATGGCCAGCACAATCACCGATCAAATTGGGCGTCTTACAGATTCAATGTATCGTAAATTTACTTATTAAAAAAAAAATCAAAAACTAACCATGCCAATTGGGTCAATTTTGATTTTTTGTTTATGCGAATAAATTACCTATTTTTTTTCTAAAACAAAATTCGCTATTAGTTTTTTTTAAGTAACAGTTCATTTATTCAATTTGCGGTTTCGGTTGCTTTAGTTTTGGTCACCAACAATGAAATGCTCAACCATCGGACCAAATTCCAAATTTATTTGCATTCGTACCAAATTTGGTCCGAAATGCCCGAAACGGCAACACTGATTACTACCCAGTCGCAATACAAATTAATTAGATGAATGGATGCATTATTGCCACACGAGGTGAAACACTTGATGCTTACAAAGATAGCTGCGCTCATACACCACAATCGCCTCGCTCTTAGTCACATGAGAGCAGTAAAGTGTGTTCCCCTATTGGAGTTTGAACTTTTGTGTTTGAAATGTTTAATTTTAATTACAACTGGATTTGAAAGTTTTTAAAATGTTGCTGTGCTTTTCACGCATGATTTGCAGGAAAAGGGTCATTATAAGAGAGACACTTGTACATGGGTTGTAGCATTAGTCCACGTTGTTATTGTAGCATGGATAAAAGCACAACCGCATGCCATTACACAAATAGGGGGTATATTTAAAACTTATCACTCACACAATAAATACCCTATGTTGTGTTGTTTTCCGTTCATAGCGTTCGTAAATGGTCCCGCATGGATTTGCATCTTCAATATAATACAGCTGAGTATATTCTCATTGTCGCGCAATTGAAATTACTCCTCTGGCTTTTTAACCGGTGTGATTACGCATTCAGCTTAATTTTTTCGGTTCATTTCGGTGTTGTCGTCACCGCTGTTTTCTACTTTATTTCGGTAGCCCGGCCTTGTTTTATGTGACAAGATCGGATGCTGTTGTTTCGTCGTTATCAGTTGTGGCGAGATTACGTTCTCCCAACCTGGTGTCTGATATTTCTTAACAACTGCTGTACGCGAAGTGTTCATTCATAAATCGTATTCTAGAACGGACTGCTTAAAGGAAAAAATACATCGACGCAAAGGCCCACAACTTCTCTCTACAAACTGTTAAGAGTTATGTAATCGGTGTACATTGTTTAAAAAAATCGGTTTGAAGTAAAAAATATTATATATTTGCGTACCGAAATAATTTTTTTCACGCGATTCTGTATATGCGTGCATTGATGACAGTAAATGCAAACATCAATAGCCAATCAATCAATCAAGAATTTATGGAATAGATCTGTGCTGCCATTCTAACCACAAAAACAAAATACATTTAAATGTATATTTGAATCATATTTGTAACTCGCTTTCATAATTGCATAGAATTGCAAAAAGGTTTGTTGCCTATATTTATAAATAAACGTGGCCCAATAAATGTGGACACATATGTATATTCCAAACACACTTTCATTTCGTATAAAAGTGATATCGCTCTTTACAAAGCTTAACATTATTTTATCGGTCGATACGAAACTATAACATCGGATCATCGAGTCATGTGGGAATTATATATAAAACCTTCCAGAACATGATACAAGTATATCGTGGTCCAGCCGAGTGTTGCCACTTTAGAGTATATATCCCCAAATTGGGGATTTTTTTTTGAAACTATTTTTTGAAAATTGTAAAAGAAAATGACGAAGGCACAATGAACAACGATTAATTATCACAGTGCGGTGCCAAGTCAAGACCATTTACAGGACTTGCAATGCTAATATGTACCAACAAGTAATGCTTGCGTAGAACGCGTTTTTCAATCCAGTACAACACAGCTTGGAATTTGAAGCATCTGAAGCTCTTTTGAGAACGCTATACCAAACTACATCTTTGACATTGAACCTTTGACTTTTTACACCTCTGTTTGAGCATACATAAATATTTATATTGTTATCTAATGTTTTTTTTCTGGTGATAATATCTTTCTTTCCAACGTTCATAACATTCCTGTGGCCAATAAACATATAATTTATGGCGATAACTTTAGAGCCATACAAACAATAACTTGCCAGAAGAATTATTATGTTACTCAACGTGATGTAGGGACGTTATGGTTTCATTATTTCTTTATATTTTTCCTGTAACCAAGTTGTATCCATTCGTAAAAAAAACATACATTTTCTATTTTGTAAAAACGTACTCATAAATATGCCGAATTCAAGGTGTATTTAATAAGGTGTATGCCAAGGCACATATAGAGAGAAGTTCCATACAGTGTCAATTTTCAAATGTTTTACTCCCTCCATCATAAAGTGGAGTGTATATTCCATTTGTCACAGCCCTTTCTGCCTCATTTCTTTTAGCTTGTCGTGCATCTACAAACTCTCGAGACAATGCATACATTTAACATAGATGTATAGGGTATACAAACATTTTGTTCTGATTGGTTGAATCATTTCTTGTAAATTAAAACACCTTTCACGAAAATCTTTCCAGTTTTGATGTAGCCCTCATATACAATTCCTGTTCATTTTAGATATTTTGGTTATTTTGAAGTAAAATTGGAAAAAATCACGAAACTTCAATTTTATTTACAAAAATTAATTATTTTTTTAAGGCGAATTAAAAATTACAACAATATGTTTTGACATTCAATGTTACAATGAACTTAGTCGATGCGACTACCTAATACATCTAGCTTGGTGTATGCATCAGATACAACAACAAATATTTTACAAAAACAACATTGTTGTTATAGGAATTAAATTGTCATGCTGACAATAGGTGTGTCTGGTTACCCTAAAGTTTGTAACAATTGTTACAAATTGTTACTGGAAGTCGTCTGTTAACCCAAAAGTTCTGCAAAAGAGAGCGGTTGGAGAGAGAAATTTTGACAGTTCTTTCAGTGAGAGTTTGCAAATTCTTGCTGGAAAAATTTCTTCTTGCAATCTCTTGCAACTCTTCTTCTTCTCATACATCGACATTCAATCAGATGTTTTCTATTGTTTGTTTATTTATTTTTGTGCTTTCAATTTGAAAATAATTTTTTTTGGAATTAGCAAGACTAATTGTTTTTGTTTTTGTTAAACTGGTTGTGTTTTCTTTCTTTTAATTCTTTATAATGGCGGACAAATTGGTTTGTTTTGACAAATCAGCTGATTAGTTGCAAGCTTCTGCAGGGATGCCGTCTGTTTACTTTTCGCATTTTTCTTGCAAAAGAGAATAAAACTACCTTACTCTCTCAGAAAGAAGTTACTGGACAATTCCTGCAGGGAAAGTAACCAGACACACCTAATCAGTTTTTGACAAAAATAAACAAAAACAATTATTAATTTTTTTGTCAAGAAATCATGGTACAATTATAAAAGGTAACAGCAAGTCCCAGCTGATTTGATTCCAACGTAATACTAGTGTCAATATGAATTTGACGAATTATGTTTTTAAAAATCACCCAACAGGAAAATTGGGAACGCATAATATTTGTAATTGTTCATTATTAAATGTGCTCCCGTATTCAACTTACTCAATCTGCCTGCTGGGAAAGTTTTTGGAAGCAAATCTTTCTTCAAGGAATAACTCGCTATTCCCTGCATTTTCATATGTGTTACACATATATATGGCAATGGCTCAATTATAGGAAAGATGTGGAAGCGAAAGAAATATAAATTTGATAGATTTTCATTCATGTTTTTCAATTTTTATTTTGAGGATTCTAAAATATTTTATTTTCAAAATAAAAATAATTTGATGATAATTTGTTTGTTTGTTTACATTTTTCTGTCAAATGAGTTGACACTAGTAGAACTTACAACAACAAATTTCCATGTGGTTGTTGTATCGTTTTTTGTACAACAACACTTGCTGTTACCTTCTATTATTATACCATGTCAAGAAATGTTCTTTGAGGAATAATTAATGAATTTATGTATTCTTGGGTTATTGGCGATTTTAGGTCAGTGAAGAATAAAGTTTAAGACCTGGTCGCGATTAATTTTAAGCTTCCCACATGCAGCCTATGGCTCCTTGTGATGTTGTTTATATTGTGAATTACAATCTATTTTTCTATGGAGCAGTGTCTTTCAATTTTGTTGCGTTCTTAAAGAAAATTGAGAGACATAAATCCCCGGCCAAAGACTAAATCATGGGAATTGTGTTGAACGTATAAAATCTTTCCATAGGCGTATTTAACCTTCGCCGAGAATTGTAACAAGCACCAATGGACCGATTCCAATAGGCTAACATAATCTCCTCCATTTTATGAGTATCAGGAATTTATGGACAGATTTCCACACATAACGTAAAATATGTGGACCATTCATAGAGGCGGGCGGAAAGGAAACCTAGGATTAAATCAGTTATAACCCCGTTCGCCGATTGGTCCACATATTTTATGTTATGTGTGGAAATCTGTCCATAAATCCCAGCTACTCATAAAATCGAGAAGATTATGTTAGCCTATATTGGAATCGGCCCCTTGGTGCTTGTCACAATCCTCGGCGGGGGTTAAATACGCCTATGGAAAGATTTTATACGGTCAACACAATTTCCATGATTTAGTCTTTGACCGGGGATTTATGTTCTTCAATTTTATTTAAGAAGGCAAGATTTGAAGGCATTCCATAGAAAAAATAGATTGTAATTCACAATATAAACAACACCACAAGGAGTCATGGGCTGCATGTGGGAAACTTAAAATTAATTGCGACCAGGTCTTAAACTTTATTTTTTCACTAACCTAAAACCGCTAATAACCCACGAATATACAAATTCATTAATTATTCCTCAAAGAATAGTTCTTGACAAAAATAAATTAATAATTGTTTTTGTTTATTTTTGTCAAAAACTTATTGTCAGCATGACAATTTAATTTCTATAACAACAATGTTGTTTTTGTAAAATACTTCTTGTTGTATCTGATGCATACACCTTATTAAATACACCTTGATTTAATACAAGAAATTTCAGAAAAAAATATTGAAGTTGTTCTTCTATTTTAGCTGAGTTTCACCGCAAATGTGACATATTTATAAAATAAAAACGCTTCTTGTGCACATGTGAGTACCTGTTTCTGATTCTAATCATCGAAGTACTTACTGGCCACGCAAAGTGTCTAAAACAGTTCAAATTGAGAGGAGGAGAAATTTCCTAATACTAATACAATGGAGACATAAAGTCGTCCTTTACTACACAACGTAGTTGAGACAACAGAAGTTGCTCTGGCAGCCGATGTTAAATTGCTCAACACATCCGTAGATGAATCCCGAAACTTATTATGCTTTTAACTACAAATATCGGTAAAATTAAAACACACACCTATCGATAGTGCCCTTTTCCGTATGGCGTCAAGCATACCAATTGAGAATTTGAATGGATTTTCAGCCACCAACCACTATATTCTAAACATGTTCATTACACCCTAATACACAATGGGTTTTTGAATTACGATATTAATTCGACTGGGATAAAAACAATCAGTAAATGGCAATCGAGCTTTTTGATAACAATCTCAACTTTGAATAATTTGATTTGTTCGTGAGTATATTTCTTAACGAATCGAAAAATTTTGATTTAGTCTGTGGACAGAGCGGTTGCCTAAAGCACAAAGTACTGCAAGATGGCGGATAAGGAGAGACTTGTTAGTCAGAACAATAAGATAGAACCCGGAATATTAATATTGTCCATTTTCAGGCGTCGTACGTTGTAGCAGCGGAAACAGGAAGCAATATGTCATCGAATGGAAAGAAACGCTTAGAATGGTATTATGCGCCGGCTTTTCTACTGTTTTGGTTTGTCTTGTTGGTGGCAGTCGTTCTACCAGTTTTCTTCCATCTACCAGAAGGCGTAAGGATCGAAGATGAACACACTCGTTCAGGAGAGTTCGTCGCAGAGCGCGCAGAGCGTATTCTGTTCGATTTTGAAATGATTGGCCCAAAAGTTGTAGGTAGCTTTGCAAATGAAAATCTTACCGTCCAGCTGCTGTACGATGAAATAGAGCTTATACGACGAAGCATGCACCACGATCTGTACGAATTGGAAGTGGACGTACAAATTGTTTCAGGTGCCTATATGCATTGGACAATGGTCAATATGTATCAGGGTCTGCAGAATTTTGTGGTCAAATTGAGTAGCAAAAATTCAACATCCCAAAACTATCTGCTGATTAACAGTCACTTTGACTCCAAGCCTGGCAGCCCAGGTGAGTCTGGTAGTAAAGGAAATAGATCTGTGCATAGTGAGCAATATTTTGTGTATTTCTAAGGGTCTGGAGACGACGGAGCTATGGTGGTTGTTATGTTAGAAATTCTACGAGTTCTTGCTACATCTCGTGAGCCCTTCACACATCCCATTGTTTTCTTATTCAATGGAGCAGAAGAAAATCCTCTGCAGGCTTCTCATGGTTTTATAACACAGCACAAATGGGCCCAAAACTGCAGGTAACATTAAAATGCACAAACATACCGAAACATACACTTATTTATATAACACCTTTATTCGTATAGAGCTTTAATAAATCTAGACTCAGCTGGAAGTGGTCACAAGGAAATTCTTTTTCAATCGGGTCCAAATCACCCATGGCTAATGAAGGTAAGACACAACTTCCCATATGCAGCGAAATCTCTCATTACGATACGTCCTTAAAAAACGGTGTCGTTATAAACCATTTCAACTGTAATATAATTACACAACCTGTTGTGAACAGTATTTATCCTCGATATTCTCAAAATATGAGCATTATTAAAGTCATTCATCATATCTGAACCGCCAGTGCATTTCAACGCTTATTTTTTAATTTATATGTGAAGTAATTAAAAAATTAACTGCCTCGGAGCAGAATCTTTGGTGTACTTAACCGCACCAATGACCACTTATCGTAGCGATTTTTAATTCACATGAAAATGTCCGCAATCACCATCGTAAAACAATCGCATTCCTCACAGCAAACGATATTGTAGCTAACGTTTGTGGGGAACAAATAGTTGCGATAAAATTTATTACAGTGCGATATCAACATATAAGAGTCATAAATCGATAAGATACAAATCGAGCAAACAAATAATAATTTTGATTCAAAAAGAAATAAATTTGATTTTACTTGTGCCAGTTCTACCCCCAATACGGGATGCATCATCCAATGAGGTTTGATTTTTGCACGAGGTGTGGGGGACTTTCCAAACATATGTATATGCTAGTGCTGTGAAAGCAAGGGAACTGGTGATCTTGTTTACATGCATCAATAACATCGTATTCTGCGCTCTCTTTTAGTAAGTCATTTCATATGACGTTATCTCATTTAATCTCCCAACATTTTCTTTTTTCACACCACTAGTATATGCATTTGTAAACGTTTATTTTTTCTATTTTCAGTACTACAGTAAATATGCGAAAAGGCCCTATGCCACATCTATTGCTGAGGAACTGTTTCAGTCAAATATAATACCATCGGACACTGATTTTCGGATATTCCGAGATTATGGTCATGTACCTGGTATGTAATTTTACTAGAATTTACTTGATATTTCATAAATGATTAGTGGTAAAGCATTAGGATAACTCGATATTAGCTGCGTCAAAACATATGCAACTCTGATTAATTTAAAAAATATACCGTTATTCGTTTCGTTGACCCCTCCTAGATGGATCAACGAAACTGGGATTGTGGCTTTATACTATATGTGATATATGTGATATTGATCTTCGGGGGACATATAATATTCTTTTGACATCACTGTTAGTAATATTGCAATCGTATAATCGCCAACAAAAAGTTTATATAATTACCCACAATGCGTTTTAATTACTCCAATCTGAATTGATCGCTTGTCATTAATTTGTTCAATTTGTCAATTTGTGTATTAAATAAACTTTGCGAAAAAATATAAACTATGATACCTATAATAACAGTATTTTTTAAATTTGTCAGATTAAAATTAGAGTTTTAATTGAACCTAAAAATACCAAATTTTTTAACTTCAAATAAAGAGATTGCTACATATTTCCACATAGTCAATTTCAGTTGCATATGTTTTGACCACCACTGTATATATTTACTTTCAAGATCCTCCTCATGCAAAAATTACTACTCAAAAATAACACTATTGGGTGCGTTAAATGCAACGTTCTGATTTCCTTAAAATCCGAGTAGGGAACACCAATAAATTAAATGTGTCCTTTGTCTGTAACAGAGTTACATGGTTTTCATTAAAATCATATTTGAAGATATTCAAAAACATTTGAGAATAAATGTGTTTTAATTTAATAAAACAGGTTACTATAAGAACAAATTGTAATCAGTAGATATATCCTAAGGGTTGCAAGCCTTATTGTTACCGAACTTTACTTCACCTGCCTTCCCTTTAACGTTTGCTACATAATCGATAACATTTATATTTTATTTCCTTTTAAGGTTTGGATTTTGCTCACTCTTACAACGGATATGTATATCATACAAAATTTGACAAATTTAATGTGATTCCCAGAGGGACACTACAGAACACGGGTGATAATATTCTAAGTCTCACTAGGGCCTTCGCCAATGCCCCGGAAATGGAGGACCCGGCGGTGAGCTGATCTATGTTAATTTTGGATTACCAAAAATATATTAAATTTTTTTTGCAGAAACACGCCGATGGACACTCTATTTTTTATGACTTTATGGGATTGTTTTTTATTTATTATACGGAAACTCAAGGCCAAATTATAAACACCTGTGTATCAGCTATTGTCATTATTGCTATAGGGATATCATTTTGGCGAATGGCTGCATGCTCATACATGTCTATTGGCAAAATTATGAAAACCTTTGCCCTTATTGAAATTTTACACTTGCTTGGAATTGTCATGGCATTAGGCTTGCCTTTACTAATGGCTGTGATGTTTGATGCAGGTGATCGTTCCATGACTTGGTTCTCCCAGAAGTGGTTGGTGTTTGGCTTGTATATATGCCCCAGCATGCTCGGTTTGTGCCTGCCTACTCTATTCTATTTGAGTTACAACAGAAATGTAAGTTAGCCTGACTTGTTTACAATTTATATTTGAGTAACATAGAATTTGTTTTATTTGTGACATTTAAGGATAAGCTTCGAAAATCGTTTAAGGTTCAAATGATTCTTCATGCTCATGCGTTGTTTCTATCTCTGCTGTGTATTGTATTAACATTTATGGGATTACGTAGTTCGTATATATTTATGATTTCCTTACTCTTCTACGGAATGGCTTTGATTTTGAATATGCTATCAACACTGCATAATAGAGGTAAGAGCGATGAATTTTATTTCTTAGATTGCTGTATAATAATCAAATTTCAGGAAAACTTTGGGCAATTTTGGTTATTTTAAGCCAGATCTTACCCTTCCTATACACTGCGTATATATTCTTTGCCCTAAGTAGCACATTGATGCCAATGATGGGTCGATTTGGTACTGGAACCAATCCCGATCTACTAGTAGGTGGACTATGTGCTTTGGGGACGATTTTGGCAATGGGATTTGTGGTAAGACAAAAATAAGTAGCTACAATAAAACATTGATAACATGTATTTGGGTTCCAGGCTCCTATGGTTAGCATGTTCCGTCATTCGAAGTCTATTCTTTTGACATTGTTGGGCATAACATTTATATTCTCCATGATAGCTGTTAGTCCCGTAGGATTTCCCTACAGGGCAAAAACAAACGTTGGTAGAGTTAACTTCCTTGTAAGTAGCATCTATTACGTCAAATGCATTATAAAGCAGCTAACACACAAACGATCTGTTTCAGAATGTCCAAAGAGTATTCTATGAATACGACGGCAGTGTTAGTAAAAATGAATCTGGGTATTATTTTGATTTTCAAGATAGACGAATACACTATCCCATCCAAGGTAAGCGATTTAAATTTGGAATTGCAATTTAAACAGCCAACCATTTATTTTCCACAGAACACATAGATTTAAGTAAGATGGAAAGTGTGGCCGATGATTGTGATGAAATGATGATGTGTGGTTTGCCACTGTTCAATCATCGCTGGTTCAAGTCGAGAATGAGAGGCGTATGGCTGCCCTCCGATGAACCGGTCGAAATCCCACAGACGCCGATACTAACACTAGTCAATAAAACGATTAACACTGCAACAAACATTGTAAGATACAATTTCAGGCTCAGTGGGCCGCCGCATATGAGTATATTTTTACTACCTATTGATGGCGTAACGGTGTTGGATTGGAGTTTTTTGAAGGCCATGTTACACGATAAGGATACGTACCAACCTCCCTATCATATTTATTTTTCCTATGGAAAAGTTTCAACTCCACTGGATTTTTATTTTGATTTAAAGGTTTGCTTTTCTATTAATACCATCCTGATAAAAAAACCTCTGACATTTTTCTATTAAATAGGTTGGAGACATTAGCCTAGAAACCCACCTATTCGAATTGGGCATCGCTGGTCATTATATTAATTTTGATTTCCCACGCAGTAAACAGGCACAAGCTTTTATTGACAGTTTCCCAGATTACATTTTTGTAATGGAATGGCCTAGTTCATACGAACGTTATTTATTTTAAAAGTGAATTCAATTCTGAAAAGTATTACAATAAAATCAATTTAATAGTTCATTTTCACGGCTGATTTTATTTAAATGTTTCCGCTCATAAGCTTATGTACAGCGCGATCAAATTTCCTGAAATGAAATAAATGTTATAATTTCACGATATTTTGCAAATATTGTTCATATTTTTCATATACTCACTTCGAGTCTAAGTGTTCTCCAGGTAAGAAGAAAGGGTTACAGACAGCATCCGTATATAGTATATGAAGATTTCGGAACATCTAAAATGCAAATGTATATATCGCAAGACAATGTGAATTTGAATTTTAAATAGTAACACATAGAGATTATAGGCTATTGCCAATTATTAAATATTAAAATTAAATTCTTTATTTTTGTGCTACATCAATGATTCTTGGAAAATAGAGTTAAAAAATGTCCCGGCTCCGAATCCACATGCCACAAAATTGTTGGTTAATGCGCACATAAGAAAATTTAAAAATGAACCTATTTATTATATTTGATGTAAGGCTTCTTTTATCAAATATAAATACGGAGATATTTCAGTAGTGTTGGCGGTTTATTTGGGATACCATTTGTATTTTGTTTTTGCAAAATAGTCAGGCTGAGGCTCCAGCGAAATTCTCATGCAGTTTATGTCGTTGGTCAGCTAAGTACTTCGCTTTGTTACAAGAGACATTTGGGTATGAAAAGTTTTTTGTATAGAAGCAATAGCTTCTGGGGAGAATATCCCAGAAAAAAACTAAGGGAACTGATGGGGATCAGTGGCGTGATCCGAAACTATAGTCTTCCCTGCCTTACCCCTCGGCAAACAATGCCATACATTCCCCTCTAATAAATAGTTGTTTATTATAAAAACAACAAACTGGGATTCAGCCTGACTATTTTGCAAAAACAAAATACAAATGGTATCCCAAATAAACCGCCAACACTACTGAAGTTGTATACGCAGGCACGGTTAAACTGTTTGGTTTGTTGCTGTATACTAGCAACACCAACAAAGTCGTTGTGTGCATTTGTCGCGATATGACAACACACAACAGTGGGAAAGGTGTGGTATTGTTTGTAAATGCCTTGTTAACCTCGAAGTGAGGCTCCAGCGAAATTCTCATGCAGTTTATGTCGTTGGTCAGCTAAGTACTTCGCTTTGTTACAAGAGACATTTGGGTATGAAAAGTTTTTTGTATAGAAGCTATCATAGTGATGAGGATCAGTGGCGTGATCCGAAACTATAGTCTTCCCTGCCTTACCCCTCGGCAAACAATGCCATACATTCCCCACTAATAAATAGTTGTTTTTTATAAAAACAATAAACTGGGATTCAGCCTGACTATTTTGCAAAAACTAAATACGGAGATTTTAACACAAAGTTATACATTATCGCGAAATATGAGGAAAGTAATAAAAAACCAAGTTTAATGCATATGTTATCAAAGATGATAGAGCACCTAATTAAGCTTCAGATAATTCATGATTGTCAAATGGAATTTCCAAGGAATCGTAGTGATATGCTACTTCCTTGTTAGAAACGCAGTTAGTTATCGTCATTGTTGTGTCTTGATATTGAGAATGCATTTGATCGTCTGCATCATAATTTACTTGTAAGGAAACTAAATTCTACATATGTGTGGAATATGTTTGTGTATGTTCGTTTGTTTATCATGTTATGTACTTAGGAATTTAGCATGTCGAATTGATATGCAAGTTTATTTTGTCATTTAAAAGTAAAATTTCTCTTAAGGAATTTGTACAGCGTAAAACTTTCCTTAACTTTGAAAATTAGGAAGCAACTGGCGCATTGATATATATTGTATTGATGTTTACTCGGGAAAATTGGTTGGGGTTTTAGGAAGGTTCAACAGTCATATTATGTTCGTTTATTCGCTAATTGTTCGGGAGCATGTGTCGGCATATATTTCAGATTTTATTAAATGTACATTTCAAGATTTCGCACTCAGGCGTTGTATTTTGCATTTCTAATGTATGCCATTTTCCTATTTTTTGGAGTAGTTCAAATTCAATTTATGTTTATTATATTTTTAATATGTGATACAATCTATTTAGATAAAAATACAACTCATTTTTTTAATCACAACTTATAATTCAAATTCAAATAAATTCAAAATAAATTTAAATATATTCAAATTTAATTGAAATATGTAGCAAGATATTTTATTATTTCTCCATAAAATATTCATAAGAAGAAAAAAACATTAGTATAAGTCATTATTACATTATTATCCTATCGTTAATCCTTGTTGTTTTGTTTTGATTCACTGTGCAACATTATTTAGTTTAGACTTTGAACCTTTGCACTGCGTAAATATTTATTGTTTGTAACGAATATTCAAAACAAATTGAGTGAACGAACAAACGCAACAGTTATTGAGTGACTATCGATCACTGATTGAGTGTTAGTTTAATGTTGTTTATGTTGTCTCTTTTATCCTTTAGTTTGCTAACGTAGCGAAAAGCTTTTGTTTGTCAGTTAAGATATTGAGTTAATTTGAATTATATTCGATCAATACTTTTAAAAGCTTTTTTTGGATCGCTATAAAAGGACAATGGTTTTACACAACAGACCTTGATTCTCTTATAGACAATCCATACGGTAAGAAGTAAGTCTTCTTGGAAACATGATAATGTGGCCGGTTGACTTATTCTTCCAAAGCTAATTACATAGAATACTTGGTGAAAGCGATGGCAGTCCCTTGTATTCATTTCTGAGGCATATGGAATAATTGTCAACAATGTAAGATTATTGCTTTAATAAAATATTATAACATTTTATGTAGAAAACCTTGGTGTGTTTCATTTTAATTGGAAAATATTCAAAGTCACACACTAAAACCTGCTACAAATAAAAATTATGCTTTAACATGTTCGCCTGGAAGTAATTACTTTGTTATGGATGAAACAAACATTTGATGGTATTCGCTACTGGATTTTGGGAAGAAGTCATAACCTTTCATTCATTTTTCGCGTTTTTAGTTTTATGTTGAAAAAATGTCAAATAACACAAACACTTGTTGCGTATATTTATTTTTGGCAGAAGCCACACGTGCATAGTTGCTTTTTTGTTATTCGCCTCAAGCTGCCCTACCTTGCATTGCTCCACCTTGGATTTTAAATAACAGACTACAATGCAAAAATAAGGCTCCCCAGCCTCGTAAAAGGAAACTTCGTAGTTAGCGACTATTGTTGGTAAATCCTATGATTGCGACATCTGGAAGAAATTTCAGAAAAATCAGATCGTTTTTACTACACTAGAGTTACGCCTAACTTTTTAGTTTATGAAACACTCAACTAGAAATGAGACTTGAAGAAAAACACCTAATATGCTACTTCAAAATTGAAAGTTTTTTTAAAGCTACATATTTTTGAGTTGTTAAAAAATAGTTCGGTTTGATATCGGTTCGTTGGTATGTGGGCTTTGAAATCACCGCAATGCATAGGTTTTATCAAACTTACCGCTCGAACTTCATTTTCACGAAGAGCTATGTTACCAGAGTCAATCACCAGAATGAATTTGATTTTTGTATTTGTCACAAAACCATATCTAAAATAAAAGAAGCCATATTATCGTCATCTCCAAACCAACAGCTAATAAATTATTACATTTTATGAGTTTCAGTTGCATATAGTTGACCCAAATATAATTCTTTAGTTTCTGGTGTTCCTTTAACACTGGCTTGGCACTTCTCTTCTACGACATCTAACGCAGCGTGGACGCGATACTGCAATTCCAACTCCTTGTCCATATCCGTCGTAGACAAGTACAAGGGCGAATTCTGAAACAATAAAGATCATTGGCTTCTAAATGGCGCTACAAAATATATATTATTGAATGAGCATTACATCCTTGCCAATAATAGCAACACAAACTGCCATTCTTGATTTTAAAGTCTACAACGTTTTACAGACACCGTTCTATTAATTCCGAATCACTTGGCGGATAAAGTAGATATGGCACCAAAACAATATGACGACAGTCACGCATTGTTTACGAATGAGTGTGTAACAAAAATACCAATGAAACACGAAACAAGTGCAAATTTTCCGCAAATGAACGACCGGAACGAATTCTAGTTCCATAGTTCCTCTTAGTTAATTTTATAATAGATCTCTTTGAACATATAACTCATGATCTAATAAACAGGTCGTGTCAGAGCAATCGTTATCGACATTTCTGATTAAAATCCCCAAAGCTGCCATTTTTTATATTTTCACACAATTAAGTCAAAATTGAATGCATTTAGACAGCTGTGGTGAAATCATCTGACCTTATCGGACGACCTTATTATTAGATCATGATATAACCCATGGCAGCTGATTTTCGATTAATAGCGCAGTTGCATACGCACTTCCCATATCTATTTTTTTTTTTTTTTTTTTGACAGCAACTTGACTGGCTGGGTGACTGTTCTGTTCCCGTACTGCTAGAATCTACATACACATGATGTGGATTTACGAAATCGTGAAAATAAATTAAGGTTATTTACACTGACTACGAAATAATTTCAAATGACTGCCAGCTGATATTTGTTTACATATACACATGATGCAATAATAAGGTGATGTATCAAAACAAAGACCTTTGTTTTTGTCTCTATTATCTCTCAAATGTTTCCATATAAAATTTCAAATGGTTGGCAACACTGCACATCCAATTCAAGTAGAAATTACCCACTTTGACAGTTAATCTAAACATCAACTGCGCTAAATGGACTACCTATTCATTGTGCCATGCATTTACACATGATGCAATATTAAGGTGATGTATCAAAACAAAAACATTTGTTTTTGCCTCGATTATCTGTCAACATTTTCCATATAATATTTAACATGGTTGGCAACATTGCACATTGAATACAAGTAGAAATTATCCACTTTGACAGTTAATCGAGAACAGCGTGACCGCTGAAATTTTTCAAAAACTATCACAAAAAGTATCATTTTTTAAAAAAAGTAGCACATAACTTCTGAAAAAGTGTCACA